GGGGAGTGTTCGGAGCCTTCGGTGAAGCAGGAGCAGGGCACGGGGAGGAAGAGGAACGCCAATAAAAAGAACAGAAGTGGGAACAAGAGCAACGCAACGCCTGTGAAACAGGTCTGCTGGCTCGTAGATGCTACCGGCACCGGGGCTGCGTGTGGGAACGTGTGGGACGGGTCCCCGGGCACCGGGGCTGCGTACGGGGCGGGTCCTTGGCACCTGCGGGCAGCTGCTCCCTCGCCTTGATAGGAAGACGTTGGGCCGTAGGAGAGAGAATGTTATCCACTCTGTTTAGAGGTAACGTGAGCAACTTCGTTAAACAGAAGGGAAAATCTTTCTGTGTGGGAGACATCTTTCACATGGTTGGGGTAAAAAGCAGTTAGTTAGAAAAAAACACATTTCTGTGTGATTGTGAGGGCGGGTGTTTACATGCTTCTCTCACTTCTGTTGCAGTGGAAAGTGGGTGACAGCTGCTACGCTGTTTGGTCTGAGGATGGTAACGTGTACCAGGCAACCATTGTCTCCATCAATCAGAAGAGAGGCACATGTATTGTTGCTTACGTGGGATATGGAAACCAGGAGGAGCAGAAACTCTCTAATCTACTTCCTATAGCCGGTTTTGAAAGGGTAAATGGGTTGGGGAATGCTTTTGTCTTCTTCTGAAAAACAAAAAGGAAGGGTGTGTATCAGTTTTTTCAGTATTTCTGGTACCACTGTGGTGTTCAGAGTGAGGATCAATACCCAGTTCCATTGTGAATGGACACAAGCTGATGGAGGGGATGGAAGTGTCCCCTTAACTCTAGAATTCAGCATGGAAGAAAGGGGGAGGTGAACAAAAAATTCACAAGTGAAAGATAAGGTAGCTGAAATGGTGAGTGGATGAGATCATGAGGTTATAATGCCTTTCCTGAGCAGGACTGGGAGAGCTAGAGTGGAGGAAGGATATGGATCAGGCTTTCCAAGCTTTTTCACACTTCAGCTGCTTGCTTGTAAACTGTTTAGTGTGTCTCTTTAAAGTGTCTTGCTCTTCTAGAACCCAAATGAAACTTCGTGTTCAACAGATGAAAGTGAAATGTCTTCTCGGCCGCCTCGGAACAGAAAGAACTGCACAAAACCAAGATTCTCACCTCAGAACCTGCATTTTCCTCCACCCCCGGGATGCCCAGGCATGGGAAGGGTAAGCTGAGCTTTATCTAGAATAGTTCATGTGCCACTGTTCAGCCTGACACTCTTACAAATCCTGAAGGCCCCAGAAGGGTATTTGTCACTGTGTAGTAAGCAGCTGATGGCATGTTGAGCATGGATCTGCAGGTGTCAGAGCCTGGCAGCCTGTCATTCTACAGTAGTGTAGCCACAGTGAAGCCCTGTTGCCGTGCAGCTCTGTGATGAGGAGAGCCTTCTGCTCAGCTAGTGCTGCCTTTGCAACTGCCTTGTCACCAAAAAGTGGGCTGTAAGATTGTACTTTTTCTAGCCAATTGGCATGATTTTCTACACGGGACGTGGCAGCAGAAGTGGTGCCTGGATGTCATGGGAGCTCTCGGCTGCGGCTCTTCTGCTGAATTTTGGGGACTGAGGTATTGAGACACTCAGTCTTCACCTTTCCTGTTGTACAGGGGCCTAAAGAATATCGCAGTGGAAGGCAGCCTTGTGTTTTCCAAGTGTTAGTCCTTGTGCATGATTTCTGTGTAAAGGTTGTTTTTACCTTTTTCCTTCTTTATCAATAATCTTGTATCTAAACTTATTTTAAAAACACTCACCAGCATGATGGCCTTGGGTTGCACACAGGAGCAGGGAAATTGTCTGTCTGTCTCTGTGCATTATTAGGTATCTTCTTCCTGTCAGAGTTCAGCTGCTGACTTTGGCTTACAAAGAGGCCATTAAAAATGCTTGTAGTAACTAGAATTCCGTTCCAGCACCTTTTACCTTGACGACATGTGTAATTTAAGTCTTACATTTCCCACTGTGCAATGCTTCACAGAAATAGCTGCTGTGTGTTTTTGTTGCAGTTTCATAAAGTTGCTGGGTTGTGTAGCCTTCAATTTAAGGTATTTGAGTTACTTCAAATAATTATGTGAAGTCAAGTCCTCATGCCTGAAATTTATTTTTCTTCTGCACTATTCAATTTTCTCAATGTAGCCTGGACCAAAATTCAGGACACCTCCACCTTTTTTTGCTGCCTGGCCCCAGTCCATCCCAGCAGTGCCACTGGTGAGTGACAGGAGGAGGAGGAAGCGAGTGGCAGGGTTAAGTATTGGCAATCTCAAATTTTCTAACTGAACGGGGCACCACCTGTGGGTTTTAGAACACATTTTTGTGTTAAAGTCTGTGTTTTGCAAGTATTAGATAATGCATTGTTAGAAATATCGCAAGAATGTGATGCACGGGGAGGGTTCGGTCTGCACTGATTTTTGTGGCAGTGAAGCTGTTTGTAAAAGCATCAACAGAAATATTATTTGAAGAAACTACACCTTATGCTTGATGAACAGCATTTTGCTGATGCAGATAAACATTTTTCCCCAGTAGGACTTCTTCTGTAGAGAGAAGCTGCAGGAATCCTTTCTCCCAGGCTTTGGAAATTAGGTGTTTTCAGAAAATAACCACCTTACCCGACTCCTTTTTTAGAGAGGGCACTGGGGCTATATTCCTGTTTCCCAGTGTTCAGTTTTGATTGCTGTCTAACCTGGGATATACCCTGTGGGGACACAGGCATTTCCTTTGGCTCCTCAGTTCATCCCCCCTCCGCCTCCACCGCCCCTGGGCCTGCACTACGCCGAGGACGACGACGCGCTGGGGAGCATGTTGATTGCCTGGTACATGAATGGCTATCACACTGGCTACTACCAGGTGCGTGCTGCTCTTGCCACGAGGAGTCTTTGTCAGTCTGCTTTTATGTTGCTGCTGCTGCTGTTCTCGGGGAGCTGGACAGGGAGAGACGCCTTTTAGAGCTCTTATTCTAATCTGAGATAGCTAAAGCTAAGAATATTTTGTATTGTGTCAGTATTCTTGTCCTTGATAGGAGTCATGAGAGCCAGCAGGTATGTGTAGTCAATGTTTTAGTTATTTCTTTCCAATAGAGGGACCCAATTAGGAACTTCTATAGCCAATGTTTTGCAGCCATTCTAAAACAACCAGCTCTGTCTTCATACACAAGTAGGGTAAGTCAAATATGTATATTATTCAGTAGTCTACTATATGTTGTCTTTAGCATCACATTTGGGATCAGATTTGGCATTTTTGCAGTCTATTGATCAATAATTATTTCATGTGATTGCAAAGGTCCAGCAGGAGCTGTCAGCATAGTTGTAAAAATATGTGATGTGGAGTATTGATTTCTGTTCTCCTTTGTGCACATATGAAGAAAGAAAATTGCAGCAGAAATTAAACTCTCTGCATTGCAGAAGTCAGAAAGGAGGGTTTTGGTGCTGTAGGGTATGGTCAGAAGACTGAGTTTGGAACTTATTGCTTCAAATTATATATAATTGTGGATTGCTTTAATTCACTTTTAATTGAACAAGAAAGAGGTATTCCAAGTTACTCTGTAGAGCCACTGCTAATAAAGAAGACATATAGTTTGGTCTTTTGTCCTTTTCAAACTGCCCGTTCTGGTATCCTCAGAGTAAAAAGCTATTCCTGATTTGTTAAGGAAAAATTGTCCAAAAATGTGTTATTTTGGGGGTTTGGTTTTTGTTTTTGTTTGGTTTGGTTTTTTTCTGCAACTAAAGTTTTTATTTCCATGTTACTTAAACTAAGATTTTTACAAAATGGTATCCTGCAGGGTTTGAGGCAGAGTCGAATGGAAGCAGTGCTGGATAAGTGCATGCAAACAAACTGAATAGCCACCCTTGTTCTGAAGGACTGTAAGTATCCTCATGTTGTGCTGAACACACATACAGCGTTGCCTGGCCAGTTTCTTTGAAACTACAGTTTGCTGTACAAGCTCTCAAGGAGTTTTGAACTCTGTGCAAAGTCTGAGGTGTGTGACTTCCATCCCCTGTTGTGGCTCTCTGCGAAGACCACTTCTGCCAGTATTAATCCCTTCTTTCCTTAGCAGCCATCAAATAAATAGCATTTTTTTTGGCTAGAATGGAGGGAAGTGTTTTATTGCTGACAAGAGGTTTAACTACAGCATGCCTGTACGTCAGGATGAACACCATAGCTTACTTGGTTTATCAGGAGTCACCTTACTTGTCTGTGGGCTGTTTTGAAAATAAAGGGTTAAGTGAAATGCATTTTTATATCTCTGTGCACATCTTTGGAAGCAACTGCCACTTTACACAGGGGACAGCAGGATGTGTAGCTAAACGTTGTTTTCAGGGTGAGATCAATATTTCAGTCTGATATTGTTGAGCAATTCTGTTCTCATTACTTCAGAGCCTATGCTTTTATTTTAAATCCTTTGTTTAGAATTCTCCAGCATGTCATTCAGTTCCATATAGAACACGTTGTCTGTATTCTCTCAGGGAAGTTATTTTTCTGTGACAACATGTAATTTCTGTGCAGCTGAGTAATTATTTTTGTTTATTTTAAAACAAAATGCTCTTTTATACTAATTTTTGCCTTTTTCTTTAAAGACAGGTCCAAATTTTTCCTGCTGAGAGGTGTATCATTTATGCATTGATGGTTCGTGGCGAACGTCTGGATTTCTAGACAATTAATCTGAACACTTTGAGCTGCCCCTGACAACAGCTGGAAGCTAGTAATACTGTGTGCATTGAAATTAACTGGTTCTTAAAATAGCCAACGTATTTAGAAACAACTGCAGCAATCAAAGGTTTTTTCATCTATGTAACAACTTTTAAGTCCTTTTTTGCAAGTGATAGATTTAAGCCTTTAACCAGCCACTATAGATTTCATTTCTCTCTCCTTTAGCACCTCTTGTATTTCTCAGACCTTTCTGTCTGAGCACACCAAAACTAGCAATTCCAGCACACTCGTTCAGGAGAACAGCTATGGCAGCAACGTGTGTTGTAATGGCCACTGGTGGAAGAAGTCTGCAGAACATCGTACTGCAAGATGTGTGTCATGGCTCTGATTAGTCCTGAATATGGGAGCTGGATTTAGACTGGGGATTTTTTTTGTTTCAAGTGCTTGTTAATAAAGTTCTACTTTCCAAAATTTTAGCGTAGGTGTGTGTTTTGTTTTGGGCTAGTATTTTTTTTTTTAGCTTCTGTAGACATGTTTGATGAACAGAGCACACCACGAAGTTCTGCTGTGTGGCCTCTTCCTGTGTACTATTGCTAAAACCAAATTAGAAAAAGCAGCCATGGAAAGGTAATGGTAAGTATGGATGTGGATTTCTGCCCTTAGAGACTTAACTTGTGCAGAACAGAGGCTGCAGCTACAAAACAAGACACTAATTTTGTGGTTTGCTTTTCAGGGAAACTTGCAAAATACAGGCCTGAACTTTGATGCATTCAGTTCCTTTTCCAGCTGTGGCTGAATGTCAGGAAATCAGTTTTCCCACAAATAATTGACTAAAAAGAGAGACATAAGCTTAGCTTCCCTAAGCTGCTTTGAAATCAGCTGTTCATCAAGTGTTCACTGCTTAAGAGGTACAGCTGCCACCTGCCTCCATCAGCTAGTCCTGCACTGTCTGTCTGGCCCTGTGGCAACAAGTGGTGACTGTCAGCTTTTAACACTTAAAATCTAGCACCCTGTGTTATTTTTAGTCTTCCATTCCTCAGCCCTTTTACATTAAACTAACCCTGCTCTAGAACAGACAGATATATTTCATCCTGGTAAAGGTTTTACAATATATGTTTATTTGCAATGGAGGTGTATAACTCCTAATACAAGAAGGTAAAGGACAAAAAACCAACCTCAAGCCCTTATGCTTTCAAGGCATGTTATTACATGTTTTAAAGAAGTTTTTCCAGGCACTTTCTGTATCATTTACTGAAAGCTTTTCAAGGTTCTTCAAACCTCCACAGTTTGCAACCCTTTCTGCAAAAGCAGACATCATTAAGGATTTAAAGAGGGTCCAAACCTATATGAAATGTGAATGAAAATACAGTGGAGCTGAGGTACTCTCCATTATAAAACAGGTTTTTGCTATTAAGTTGAGAGAAGTAGAACTTTGACCTCAACTCATTTAGGTGTTTAAATACCTTGGAGTGGGTAAACTGATAGAGGATACTTTTGCAGACACATTAATGCCTAGTAGAATAACATTTACATTAACCTTTAATAAGAGTAACATTTACAATAACCTTTACAAGGCACCAGGACTGCTGACAACCGATGAGCTGAAACTCTCACAGGGGAGGAAGGATCCTGGGGCAAGACCTGGCAGGGCTCATTGGTAGGTCTGTAAACTAGACATGAAAGGGTGTGGGTAATACTTGGTAATGCACAGTTTCAACAGTTTGGGCATACAAGGTAATATAGCTAGCTACAAAGTTATGAAGCTGTATTTTTAAGTTAGTCTTGTTATCCACTGATTATATTTCTTGTAATTTACATTGGTTTGTAGAAGTCAAGGGGAATTAAGGAGGCATGTCAAAAGGTTTCAGCAACAGGCTGTTATCATCCAGACAGGATAAATGAGAAGCATCTGAGGTGCAGCAGGTGTAGACACTGCTGAAACATCAGTTTACCTGTAGACTTTATTCCCCTCCCTGTAAGAAGGATGAGTTCCTCTGGGGTAAGAAGAACACCTAAACTGTATGCTGCAGAGAGAAGACAACCCTTCCTGTTAAGATTAAGCAAGTATATATTTCCTAAATCTGGTAAGGCAAATAAGTGACAGCAGCAGAGCCACTTAAAAAAAAAATACTGAATTTAGATTCTGGGCAAGGGGTTACTATCAGCTTTCTTTCCTTGGATTCACCCTTGCCATTGTTGCTAAAAGTTGCGTTCCTCTAGCTCAGCAGCTTGAAAAGGTCACCAACAGAAAAGACAGAGCTGCTCCAGGGAAGGTCTAAGTGGTCTCATGAGTCCTGTGAGGATATAAGGAATCCATCATTTAGGACAGCCATCCATCTCACTCAGCTCATCCCTCTCAAAGGCTGTGAATGGATGCCCTTCTTCACAAACAACTGCTCTGTGAGACCTCCTTTAACACTCTGGTTCTTGGTACTCTTCAGCATCCCAGGCAGCATTTAAGCTGTTCAAGTTACTTCTTAAATCTCCAGAAGAACCTGACACAAAGTAATTCAGATCTCGTTTGTTGCATTTGACAAAAGTGAAAGATAGTTGCAAACCAAGCTTCCTTGTCTTCAAAATACTGGCTTCTAAGATCCAGCACTTTGAGATTGACAAAACTAGAGAAAGCAGTAGCTAGGAGGCAAGCAAAAAAGTACACATGGCACTCTAGGGACTTAAGATTAGCAGTTTCTCTCAACTAGTAAGTTTTAAAAAGTGAGTTCTCCATATTAAAAACAAAACAAAACACAAAAAGCTACCTAAAGAAAGTAAATCTCAGTCTCTCAAAAATGACTCAGATAACTTTATTTCTGTTAATTTCTTGCATGAAGAAGTTGTTGCCAGAAGAGACTCAGAATTAAAGTAGCTGGAGTGCTCCAGGTGAAAACCAGAGAGGTCTGGGAGGCTTTTAATAAATTCAGCTGACAAAACAAAGTGTCATCATACTGGGAATTCATTGTCATGAACCAAGGTCAGAGATCAGGAAAGTTCTCGTAGCTCCACCTATGAACTTCACTGTAGGGTGAAGGATCTTCTGTCACAGCAAAAGCAAGTGAGGAGAAAAAGATGAATGGGAGCAGCAGCTTGATTCTTCTGTTTAAGTGTAACACCCAGATGGCCTGTCTTTTATTTTGTAACAATCACGATGGATCATTCCGGCCTTGAAGTGCAAGCAAGCTGTGCTGTAGATTCATTTATTTTTTTTTTCCCCACCTGTGAAAATATTCTAGCTTTTCAACATTTAGTGGGGCTTAAAGTTTTTAAACATCCTCCTCCTGGAGTTGTAAGTTTTAGGTGTATGTAAAACAGTATCCAACGGCCAGTAAGGGTACAGTTCACTGAACGTTGTTACACTGAAGTAGAGATGGGTAATTATTACCATAGCATACAAAAAAAAAATTGGTATTCTAGGGGCCCTGGACTGAAAAGTAAGGAATAAAGCAGCTAAAACAGAAGCCAAGGCCTGCTTGCTGACCTGCCAGAGCAGCTATGCACATTATCTGGACTCAGTTGCCAGCTGTGCTTCCTTTCTTGCTCGCCACAGCAGACTCTGAGTGGTTAGAAGGGAAAACATTCCAGGAAAATGGAGCACAGTATCCTGCTTGGTCCTCCATACGAACTTCTGGAGGTCAATACAATTACAGCACCGAAAGGGTCAGCTCCTCTTTTTTTGTTGGGGTGGTAAACTCAAGGTAGAAGCTGCAGGGCAGAAGCAAGGGGAAGACAACTCAAGATGCCACGTGCCTGTTAAAGGACAAATTAAAACGGCTACTCAGTAACAAGTTCTAGTGGAAAATAGTAGTTTGTGATGAAGCTGGTCAAATGTACAATGAAACTGGGTTGATCTGCTTCATCCTTCTGTTCTTCTGACAGTTGGCCAACACTGCCTCACATCTTAACAGTCTGAAGAACTCTCTATCCAGTGAGAAGGGCGAGAAAGTGCAAGCCACATTATTACTCAGACCACAAGCAGATAGTGGGGTACATGGCACAGCTTCTAGTTCCAACTTTGTTATTGTTGTATCCAGCATGAGAAAACCAGAACATACTTCAGGTGATTGGAGAAAACCTTTTCTCCCCATTTGGGAGGCAATGCTGATTGTGAACACGAAGATGTTGTCAGGAAACACTGTATCAAGACAATGCCACTGGTATCAGGATATCTACAGAGCCAGATGCTTAGGGCAC